GGCCCCCACCGCAGAGCCCCTCAGGGTCCCTATCCCCACCTGGCTCCCATATCAGCCCCCCAGCGTACCCACCATGGCCTGGCTCCCATGACAAACCCCTTAGGGCTCCCACCCCTGCCTTGCCCCCACAACAGCCCCCCGAGTGTCCCCACCCCTGCCTGGCCCCCACCGCAGAGCCCCTCAGGGTCCCTATCCCCACCTGGCTCCCATATCAGCCCCCCAGTGTACCCACCATGGCCTGGCTCCCATGACAAACCCCCCAGGACCCATACCTACCCAGCCCCCAAGACAGTCCCCCTTAGGGTCCCCACCCCCACCTGGTCTTCTGCTGTCCTCTGTCCACCCAGCAGGCCCCCAGCAACCTCTGTCTGATACCTACCTGCCAACTCTCTCCCCTCCTTAACATTTCCATCCTCAGCCACTTGGTAAGCTGTGACATGGGCTCGGGCCTCCACAGTTTGCCTAGATCAAGGTCAATAGGGACATTTGAGGGCCCAAAATGAGCCTCCTCAGACACCCAGAGTCATTCATTCAACAGACATGAACCAAGGGCCACACGACCCAGGATGATGGATGAGGTATCATGGTCCTGCTGTCCTGGAGCACATGGTCCCAGAGACATTTGAGCCAGGTGCCTCCCAACCAGGGTGGTAACAGACGTCCAGTCCCAGTGGGCAGCCAAATTCTGCCCAGCCCTGGTTGGGAGGTGGGATGTGGTGGCACAGGCAGTGTCTTCTGGAGTGAGAGGTGTGGGAAGCAGCCCATGCAGGAGTGGAGGTTTGGGAAAGGGCATTCCCAAGCCAAGAGTGGGAGGGGCTTAAGGATCAGGGGACACATTTTAGGAAAGAACAGGATGGGCAAAGTGCCAAGGGGACTATATAAATAGGAGGCTAGGTAGCATAGTGGTTAGTGCTACAGATGCCTGGCCAACACTACCTAGGTTCGAATCTCAGCTCTGCCATGTATGAGCTGTGTGACCTTGGGCAACTTGTTTAACCTCTCTGTGCTGCACATCCTTCATCTATAAGGCAGCACTGATAAACAAAGCATACACCTTCTAGGGTGTCTGTGAAAATTAAATGTGTTAATGCATTAAATTTGTTAATGTGAGACACTAAGAACTGTGCCCAGCATACTAAATTTAGTTGCTACTAAATTAAACTATACAACAAAATTGTCAATATTTGGCCTAAATATTATAGCATGTCCCTTTCTTTTTCTTCTCTCCCTCGCTTTTTTCCCCTCCCTCTTCTTGCTCATCCCTCTCCCTCTCCTTATCTCTCTCTCCCTCTCTCTCCTCCTGTCTCCTTCTGTCTCTGTCTCTCCCTCTGTCTCTGTCTCTCTGTCTCTCTCCTCTTCCCTCCTTTCCTGCCATAGTGGCATGATGATTTAACGCACCTTGGTTCAAATCCTGACTCTACCACCCTCCTCCTTCAGCATTTTAGGAACACGGGTTAGGATCTCTGTTTGCTTACCTGAGAAATGAGATGATAATAATAGCAGGGACTTTACCAAGTTGTGGGGTGTACCAGGCGTGTAATGCGGTTATCTGGGTGGCAAGCCCATAAATAGGTCTGTGAAAATAGAAGCTGTTGGTGGGTCTGCTTTTAGAAGAAAGTCTCTCTCATCCTGCTTAAACCTCTCTCCACCACCTATGGGGCCCTGACGACTCTGGCTCCTGCCACCTCTTCAATTGGCTCCCACACACCAGGAGGACAGGAACAGACTCCAAACTCAACTAAGTGAGTGTGTGTGAGTGTGTGTGTGTGTCAGGGGCTGCCTGGTGGGAAGTAGACATCAAAGTCCCCTTAGAAGAAACAACCTCTGTGCTGAGCCATGAGGGATGAGAGGGCCACAGCCAGAGAAGGGAGGTGGGCAGTGGTTGGATGGGGGCAACTGCCTGGACTGAATCACGAAGTATGTGGGTACCTGGTTTGGGGAAGTGAAAGCTGGCCATTTGGCACGACCGAACAGATAAGTTAGTGGGTAGGCTGGGGGCTGATTGCAGAGGGCTCTGGGGAGCCATGAAAGGTTATAGGCAGAAGCAGGACCCCTTGAGTTAGAAAGACAGCCTGGCGTTGGGACCCTGCCACCCTGACACTTACCAGCAGACATTCCAACATGAGGCCATGTCCCCAGATGGTTGGGCAAGTAGACTCCAAGCTCAAGTGTCCCAGGTTCAAGTCCTAGCTCTACCACTGTAGGACACAGACAAATGACTTTCCTTCTCAGTACCTCAGTTCCACTGAGACAGGCCCGGCAGAGTGAGGACACCAGACCCCCCAGGAGGTTCACTGAGCGCTTGCTGCATGCCAGTGCTTTGCACACCGGGGCAGTCAGCGCTGTTCCTCGCTTCTGGTTTACGGATGAGCAGGGAGAAGCCGGGACTCAGGCCCAGGCCTGGCCAGCTCGGGCTCAGGCATGTCTGCTTGCCTCCCTTATAGTTGTGGCCCCAGGATGGTGACACCTGTGACCTCCTTCCACAATGGTGGAAGAGCTGGCTTGGCCACTCCACACCCCCACAACCCCGAGGCTCAGAGAGTAGAAGCAACTTACCCATAGTCGTGCCCAGAGGGAGAGGGGTTGGTGACCCCCAGGCTTGGCTGAGCCCAAGGCCCATGCTCTTGGCACACAGTAGGTGCTTTAAAGTCAAAGGACTTTACAGATGCTCCAGGCACATGGGCAGAGGAAGAAACTGAGGCCAGGGTGACAGAATCTCTGCATTTCCCAGCAGGACATGGCACAGAGTAGATGCTTGACAAATGTTCAGGACCTGAAGACCTACTGTGTGCAGCTCCGTGCTCAAAGCTTCACATACGTTATCTCATTTGATCCTATCACATCCTCATGAGTTGGGTGCTATCATCTTCTCCATTTTACAGAGGGAAAAACTGAGGTTCAGAAAGGTTGAACCTTCAGCCGAGGTTGCACAGGCAACAATCGTAACAAAAGCTGGTGACAATTTTGGTGTTTACTGTGTGCCGGGTCTTGTTCAAAGCATTTTACACATTCATGTAGAGCAGTGTCCGTATTATTAATATTGTCATTTTACAGATGAAGAGAGGTTTTGAGGTTAAGCCACTTGCCAAGATCTCACAGGTGCACATTTATTGAGCACCTGCTGCACACCTTGCATGTGATGGGCTCCAGGGTGACCTGCTTCTGGTCTCAGACTGGTGTCCCTCCACACTGGTTAACCACAATACTGACTCCAGATTATGTCCTGTGCCAGTAACTAGAGCCTGGTGCCTAACCCTAACCCTCGTTATACCACAGATCCCAGCCAGGGCTGTGATGTGCCCGTTGAGTGGACCACCTTGACAGGTAGTGAGGGCCCCGTCGCCAGGAGAGTCCAAGCAGCCACCATGGAGGAAAGTCAATATGCAGGTGGGAGGTTTCTCTGGTGCTGACACCCACAAAATTGAGGACCCTGACCTCCTGTTTTCCACCAAGGAAAGGACCGGGCTCCCCGGTCCCCCTCTGGAAAGGAGGGTGAATTTCTAAGAAAGGCCCCAGGGTCGGGGGAGGTGGGTCCCAATTCGCCTTCCTGGCACAGGGCCAGGCAGGAGAGGGTAGCTGAGGTCCCCTCCCTTCTCTGACTCAACGCCCTCCTGACAAAAAACGGCAGCTGGGAGCCCGATAGAATCAGAAGCCAAGAGGAACGGGGAACCCAGAACAAGTGGAATCCGGCATGATGAATCCCCAGAGCCAGGGTGAGGGGAGGGGGACGGGGACCCGCAGCGGCGCATCGAGGTAGAGTTGGGGGGTCCCAGGTGTTGGGGGTGAGGCCTGATGGGGTGAGGGTCTGACATCTGGGGAAGGGGCTGGAGAGTGCTCAGATGTTGGGGAGAAACTGGGACCCCCTTCCTGCATTTAGGGAAGGTGCTCAGTGTTGGGAATGGGCATCAGGGTACCGCTCGAGCGTCCAGAGGTGTAGGTGGGGGCTGGGGGTCAGAAGGGAATGACAGTGAGGACAGAGCCTTTTGGAAGTCAGGCTGGGCCAGCACTGGACGGTCACACACAGAGTGGACAGTCGTGTGTGGGGAAGGCAGGCAGAGGGAGCTGGGGGTCCACTGAGACCCTCTGCTTCCGTGTGGGCTCCGGCGATGGGGACATGCGCAGAGCCAGAGCCCCGCCTCACCCTGTGCTTCCTGTCACCCCCCGCAGACCCGGCAGAGTTTGTGGAGCTCCCCAGGAAACGGTGCTGTGGGAGGGGGACACAGCTCGTCCTGCTGGGGCTGGTGACCGTTGTGCTGTGGGCCGGGCTGCTGACCCTGCTTCTCCTGTGGCGTGAGGAAACCCCCAGCCCCATGTTGCCCCCCAAGCCACGGGGCCCCTCTGTGTTCCCTCCCAGACCCTCATCTCAGAGCCTGCAGAACCCAGCACACCCTTCAGAGCCCGATTTCCCCATCTTGCCTCTCACCTTGACCCTGCCAGACCCTTCCCATGCCCCACCTGCCGAAGCCCCCCACCCCCGTCCATGTCCCCATCACGCATCCTGTCAGCACCTCCCCCAGGTCACACCCAAGACCTCCATCCCCAGCTGGCAGGTGGGGTGTGGGCAGGTGGGGGCACCTGACAAGCCCTCCCTTTCCCCTCCTCCCCTCTCTCCCTCCCCAGACTGGGACACTTTACAGAATCTGAAACAGCTGGAAGAGACCACTGCCCGGAACGGTACGGAGAGGCCAAGCTGTGGGGTGGAGTTGAGTGTTAGGACATCCAGTTCTTGTCCCACTTCTGCCACTGACCGCTGTGGGACTGCCCCTCTCTGAGCCTCAGTGTCCCCTCTAGGAACTGAGGGTCAGCCTATGTTGCTCCCCACCCTGGGGGACAGGAAAAACCCAGCGAGGCCTGGAGAAGTGCCTGATAGTATGTTAATACCAGGAGACAGCAGGGCTGGCCGGTTAGCTCACTGGGCAGAGCGCAGTGCTGATAACACCAAGGTCAAAGGTTCAGATCCTGATACCAGCCAGCTGCCAAAAAAAAAAAAAAAAATCTTTAGACAGCAGGAGTTACACGATTGCTCTGTGCCTCAGTTTCTTCATCTGTAAAATGGGCATGATGTTAGTGCTATGAGACAGCAGCAGGCTGAGGCTTGTGAAGCACCCAGATAAATGCCCGATGCGTTTATATTTAATGCCAGGTGAGGAAAGGGTACACAAGTTCATTCTATTTTTGCCTTTGCCTTCCTGAGTATGTTTCCCTCACAAAAATGAAAAACAAAAAGAAAAAGTTATTATGACTATGTGAGAGGGCCCCCGTGCTTGGAACTGGGGTGGGGCTCAAGGATCTGTCTTTATGGTTCCTGAGGAAACCCCTTCTCTCCCGCTGTCCCAGTCTCTCAAGTTTCCAAGGACTCAGAAAGACACCAGAGTGACCAGATGGCCCAGAAGTCCCAGGGTGAGTGACCTCTGATTGGGGTCTGGAGGGGAGAGGAAAGAAGGGGCTTGGATGACCTCTGGACACACAGCGCTCTGGACCAGCTGTGATCCCGATACCCGGGGAACTGCAAGCTGAACAGGCAAAGAGGCCAGGGGGTGGGGGGGGGGGTTGGGGTGGCTCTGAGGACTTGCGTACCACTAAGCCCCCTCCTCTGCAACAAGCTGCCCAGATCCTGCAGACCGTGGAGGAACTCCGAGCTGAACAAAAGAGAATGAAATCTCAGGGTGAGAGACTGGGATGGGGGCGTGGGGTCCAGACTGGGTGGGAGGGAGTGTTCCTGAGCCCCTGAGGACCATGAGGCTGGAGGCCAGGCTTGGGGACCCTCCAGCATGCACGCATCATTCTGAAACCAGCCCTGCCCTCCCTCGCCGGTCAGACTCTGAGCTGTCCTGGAACCTGGACGGACTTCACGAGTATCTGAGCAACCTCAAGTCCCAGAGTGAGGCTTGGGAGGGGATCGGGGGAAGGGGGAAGGGGGCAGGGGGGCTCCCACCAGTCATTCTCTGAGCACTGGTCCCCGCCCGGTCCTTCAAGGCTTGAACGAGAGGCGCAGAGCCTCAGACTCGCTGGAAAGACTCCAGGAAGAGGTGGCGAAGCTGTGGATAGAGTTACGGGTGTCAAACGGTGAGTGTGTGTCTGCGTATGGGCCTGGGGGTGGGTTGGCAAATGCATGTGACAGCTTGTGTGTGTGATGTGAGGCAGTGTGTCAATACACCTGTGTGGCACAAGTGTCATTGGAGGACACAAAGGTATGTGTGTGGTGGGGTGTGTTCGGATACACGGTAGGGGTCTGTGTGACAATGTGAATGGGGCTAAGTTCATGGCAGGGCAGAACAAATGGGGGCACGTAAGAATGCCCTTCCTGATGCCAACTGTTTTCCTCCACTGATTTGGGGGCTCCCACACTTTTTCCTCCTCCAGGTCCAACAGACCATTGCTGGGTTCTCTGCTGCTGTCCTTGGCTGATGTGGCTTAGCAAGGGGTCATCGATAGGATGATCCAGCAGTCACAGTCCTCATGGGAGATTGTCTGACCCAGCCAGGGGGTCTAAGGGCGGGAGGGATAACGTCTGCAGCAGTGGGTACAACGGGGACAGCACTATCTTCTCCATGGGTGGCAGTGACAGAGGCAGAGTTGGCCCCAGCAGGCTGCAGAGAGAGCAGACATTCAATTACTGTGCCTTTAACTTTGCATAGGAACTGGGGGTTTTACAGCCCCAGTGGCCCCCAGCCAATGCCCCCACCCTTCGTTTCTGGTTTTCCACCTCTGGGAAGCCCCAGTTGCCCCCATTAGGTAAGAGAAGGGGAATGATCTTTGCTTGGTGTGAAGGAGTCCAGTCCCCTGGGCTGTGGTGTGGCTATGGGAATCCCAGCAAGAAATCTTGCTGTGGTTGCGTAGGACGGGGGGTGGGGGGGCGGTCTGGATCATGCTTACTCCTGACAGATCGCCTCCTGACTCCTAGCCTGAGGTAGTCACCCAAATCTGGCCATGGCCTGGGGTCTGAGCCAGCTGTGGGGCTGTCTCTGCATGACCATGTGACAAATAGCCAGGACACCTTTCCCTGAAGTTTTCTTTATCGGCTCAACATGTCCTCTTCCTGTTCTAATGCTGCACCCCAAGAGGGCGAGGACTGGTTACCATTTCACGGGCCAGAAGCACATTCAACTCACAATGTTGTGGACCCCAAACCCCTTAGAAAAATCTGACCAGAGCCATGGAACCCTCCCTACGCGTCATTGTAGGAAGAGTCAATCCAGATACAGTGAGTTTAACCTGCCACCTGGGAAATGACGGCACAGGTTCCTTGAGATGGGGGGAAGGGGACAAACAGACCAAGCTGGCCCCATGTAGAGGACTTGGGGACCCAGCCCTACAGTCCCCTTTTCTCTCTCCATTGGTTGTCCTGACCAATGCCTCCATCCAGAAGAAAATCATCTCAGTTTCCCCGAAAGTGGACAAAACAGCAGGTTTGGGGGAGGGATATTATTGGAGCTGTTGGTGGGGACAGCGCATGGGACAGTGATACTGATGGACTTGACCACAGCACTGTCTCCCACTGCTGCTGGTGGTGCAGAAATGGTTGGTAGGGTTGGTGCAGATGGTGTGGCCTAGTGTGGGTGCTGGAGATATGTGGCTGGCGATGGTGGGTGTCTGTGGTCACGGTATTGCTGATGAAGGTGTTGACAATGGAGGTGTTTGTGGTCACGGTGTTGGTAGTTGAGCTGCTGCTGGCCATGGAGTGTTTGTGTCATGGTGTTGGTAGTTGAGGTGCTGCTGGCCATGGAGTGTTTGTGTCATGGTGTCGGTAGTTGAGGTGCTGCTGGCCACAAAGGTGTTCGTGGTCACGGTGTCGGTAGTTGAGGTGCTGCTGGTCATGGAGTGTTTGTGGTGATGGTGTTGGTAGTTGAGGTGCTGCTGGCCATGAAGGTGTTTGTGGTCACGGTGTTGGTAGTTGAGGTGCTGCTGGCCATGAAGGTGTTTGTGGTCATGGTGTTGGTAGTTGAGGTGCTGCTGGCCACAAAGGTGTTCGTGGTCACGGTGTTGGTAGTTGAGGTGCTGCTGGTCATGGAGTGTTTGTGTCATGGTGTTGGTAGTTGAGGTGCTGCTGGCCATGAAGGTGTTTGTGGTCACGGTGTTGGTAGTTGAGGTGCTGCTGGCCATGAAGGTGTTTGTGGTCACAGTGTTGGTAGTTGAGGTGCTGCTGGCCATGGAGGTGTTTGTGTCATGGTGTCAGTAGTTCAGATGCTGCTGACCGTGACGTGTTTGTGGTCATGGTGCGGATAGTTGAGGTGCTGCTAATGGCAAGGTGTTGATGGCAATGTTGTTAGTGATTAACATTCTGCTGGCTGTGAGGCATCTGTGGTGTTGGTGGCTGAGGTGATGCTAACCATGGAGGTGTCTGTGGTTGACAAGCTGCTGACTGTGGAGCTGGTGATGTGGTTGGTGACTGAAGTGTGGTTGGCCATGGACACATTCATGGTGATGGTGTTGGCAGTTGGGATGCTTCCACTCGTGAGGTGTTTGTGGAGATGTTGCTGGTAGTTGGGGTGCTGATGTGATGCTGTTGCTAGGTGACATTCTGCTAAACATGGAGGCATTTGTGGCGATGGTGCTGGTGGTCGAGGTGCTCCTGCCATGGAGCTGGTCTTACATGTCAGCGTCAGAGCTCCAAGAGGCAGCCTGCAAGACTGTTAGGCTCTGGGGTGGGTCTTCTTTTGGCCCGGACCCCAGGGATGACTCCAGGAGAGAGGCTGCCACCCACCTTGCCCACTCTGCCCATGACGCCCACAACCACGGTCCCCGCTGAGTCTCTCCTCCACCCCAGGCTCTCTGTGCAACACGTGCCCCGAGAAGTGGGTCAATTTCCAACAGAAGTGCTACTACTTTGGTGAGGGCATCAAGCGGTGGCTCCATGCCCAGTATGCCTGCAGTGACATAGAAGGACGGCTGGTCAGCATCCATAGTCCAGAGGAGCAGGTGGGCCTGGGCTCCGCAGAGGCTGGGGGTGGCATGGTGGTGCTGGTGGCCGGAAGGACCTGGGCAAATCACCCCAGTCCTCCATCCCTGTCCTGCCTCCCCCCAGGACTTTCTGACCAAACATGCCAACAGAAGGGGCTCGTGGATTGGCCTTCATGACGTGGATGCAGAGGGGGAATTTATCTGGATGGATGGGAGCGCTGTGGACTACAGGTGAGGAGGGGGCCCAGGCCCAGACTTACAGAGGGGCCTCTGGGGTAGGTGAGGGGCTGGGAATATTGTCAAGGGAGGAGCTCCCTGGATGAGTCCCACCGGGAAGAGGATAAGGAGTCATGAGGCCTAAACTCAGCGAGTGGGGTCTCTAGGGTACAGACGACAGGTGAGGCTACGGGGAGTGCAGAGATGGGGGCCCTGGTCGGGGCTCAGAGAGGGGCTTCTCTGGCCTACAGGGAAGGAATAGGGAGGGTGCCCCATGCACAGATTGGACTGCAGGGAATGGGGCTCCTGCCCCCACCCCATTCTCTGACCTGAAGCCTTGGCATCTCTGACCTCCAGCAACTGGCATCCAGGGGAGCCCAACAACCATGGCCAGGGCGAGGACTGCGTGATGATGCAGGGCTCAGGGCAGTGGAACGACGCCTTCTGCCGCAGCGAGCTGGGTGCCTGGGTGTGCGAGCGGCTGGCCACATGTGGACCACCCGCCACCTCGGCTTCTGCAGGTCCACCGGGAGGGCCCCCTGCTCACCCCCTCCACGTCCCTCCCGCACCATGAACACGGGAACTGCCGGGCCCATAGCGGGAGCCTGAGGATCCCCAACCAAGGCCTGGATGCCTCCTTATGGCTAAAAAGTCCCCATGACATTTTCTCCCACCCCAACTGCGAGAGCTGACCCATCCCGCTCCCAATGCCCCAGAGGGCCTGTCTCTTGCTCCTCAGCCCAGCTGACCATCACCACCTCCCTGCCTTTAAGGGATCCATGCTCTCACCCCCAGAACCCCTGCCAGCAAGCTGGAGGCTAGAAGCCCCCTCCCTACTGGGGCCCAGGCCTGGCAGTCCAGCCTTCCAGGGAGCTGAGGAGGAGACAGGCCTCTCCTCTGGGACCTCCACGTGCTTCCTCCATGCCCCCACCTCATCAGGAGCATCCCCCCACCCGCACTCCCTCCCCAGATGCAGCTCCCATGTCCACAGCACCAGAGGACAGAGAGCCCCAGCTCAGGGAGCGAGTCCTCCCGCCCAAATGAGGTGATGGTGCCCACTCCCCACATGCCCCCTCCTCAGAGGCCTGGCTGGGTCTGGCCTCCAGGTGTGGCACACAGGAGCTAGGAATTCCAGAGGCCAGTGCCTGAGACCACCTTCGAGAATCAGGAGAACTGAAGTGGAATTTGTACCTTTTTTCCTACTTCATTACAAGAAGAATGTACTGGCTGGAGCCTGGAGATGAAGACTCTGGGGTCCAACAGACCACTGGGAATACCGTAGGAAAAGGCAGTGGATCGCCCGGAGCCAAGTCGCCCAGCATAGGGCTGGGGGTCGGGGGTGGGACATGATTTGACACATGGGGAGTGCTCAGAACAGTGCCCGGTAAACAGAAGGTGCTCAACAAGTGCTGGCTGGCCGGAAAGGCCGATAGGAAGGTGGCCTGGTCACCCACAGGCCAGGTCCCATCTGGAGGCACCCACCCCACTTAGGGTCTGGGAGGCCAGGCAAGCACCTGCCCCGAGCCAAATTCAGCCCGTGCACCTGAGGCCACCAGAGGGAGGGACGCAGGTTGGGATCACAGGACACCTCTTATCAGACTCTTCTACCTGTTGCTCAGGCCAGCATTGGGGTCATCCCGCCTCGTCTCTCTCCCGGGATGCCACCTCCAAACCATTCACAGCGGGCTCTCTTCTCACCCCTCCTGCCACTGCCTCGGCGTGGCCCCATCCTTGCTCGCCTGGACTGGTACAGTTGCCTCCACCCCAACCTCCCTCTTCACTACCCCTTTCTGGAAGTTCCCTCCAGCTCAAAGGACCTGGGGCTGCAGACTCTGGCAGTTTCCTCCTAAATCCAGCTTCCCAGGCACCAAACCCTCAGGCTCTCTCACCTCCTCCCCTTCCCAGGGCCCCAGTCCCCTCACTCCCTCCTCCAGGCCTGTGGCTACTGGCTGCACTGTTCCCTGGATCTCCCTCCCAAACTCCATACCTGAACCCCCAGACCTATGCACCTGTTGGCCTCCTAATTCTAGATTCAGACTCACCCTCCCAAACCCTCCCAGAGCCAACAGCTATAATTCGATCATCCCTGGGATACAAGTGCCAGGTGCTCAGTAGTTTTATGTATCCTACTGATGCTACCTTCTTCCCCATGTGCTGAGCCCAGCCACAGCCCATAGCTTCTTGCTGGGACACCCGAACTGCCTCCTACCAAGCCCCACGCCCTCGGTCTCCCTGCTGCGTGCTGCCCTCCCTGACGAAGCCAGAAGGAGCATTCTAAACAGCAAATTGGAAAGTTACACCCACCCCACCCTTAAACTCTTCTCATAAGCAGTGAGGGGGACCCAGCCAGAAGTCCCTGAGGTTCCTTTTCAGAACAGATTTGTTCTGGTTTTGGGGCGGGGGAAAGGAAGTGGGGAAGATTTGATCAAGTTTCCCCTAAGAAATTTGGAAGGGCTTTTCTTGGGGAGGAGGAGCGATCAGGGACCGAGGGTGTTCAGAAAAAGGGAAAGGAAAGTTGCCTGATGTGTAATATATCAACTTAACAAGGAAAATGTGTTTGCATATCAATGGTGTATTCTAAAATTAACTTTAAATTGTTTTGAGCGTCCAGATCATTTTGGATTCTTCTGCTTTGAGAGGCAGGTCTCTAGGGCGCTACTTCTCAAAGTGTGGTCCCTGGACCATCAGCAGCTCCCCTGAACTTGCTGAGATACAAATTCTTGGGCACACCCCAAACCTGCAGAATCCGAAACGGGGGTGGGGGTAGGGCTTCTAGGGGATTCTGGTATCCTAAAGCACGGCTTCTCAAACTAAAGTACACAGGAGTCCCCTGGGGATCTTGCTAAAATGTAGACTCTGACTCAGCAGGGCTGGATGGGCCTGAGATTACACTGACGCTGCCGGTCCGCAGACCACACTTTGAGTAGCAAAGGTCTAAAGCAGGGGGACAAACGGCCACCCCGGGCCTGTTTTATAGGCACACAGCCACACCCACTTCTTTACATATTCTGTGGCTACTTTCCCACTACATCAGCAAAGTACATTACAGTAATCCCCCACCCACCTTATCCAGTTTCACTTTCCACCATTTCAGTTACTTGTGGTCAACTGCAACCTAAAAATATTAAATGGAAAATTCCAGAAGTAAACAATTCATAAGTTTTGAACTGCAGGCTGTTCTCGGTAGCGTGATGAAATCTCACCCCATCCTGGGCCGGCCCGGTGGCGCACTGCTACAGTGCGCCGCTTGGGAAGCATGGCAGTGCTCCCGCCGAGGGTTCGGATCCCACATACAGACCGGCCGCTCACTGGTTGAGCGAGGTGCAGGAGCAACACCGAGGGTTGTGATCCCGTTGCCGGTCCCGGTCCGGTACGGGCGCAACACTGAGGGTTGCGATCCTCACTTTCCACCATTTCAGTTACTTGTGGTCAACTGCAACCTAAAAATATTAAATGGAAAATTCCAGAAGTAAACAATTCATAAGTTTTGAACTGCAGGCTGTTCTCGGTAGCGTGATGAAATCTCACCCCATCCTGGGCCGGCCCGGTGGCGCACTGCTACAGTGCGCCGCTTGGGAAGCATGGCAGTGCTCCCGCCGAGGGTTCGGATCCCACATACAGACCGGCCGCTCACTGGTTGAGCGAGGTGCAGGAGCAACACCGAGGGTTGTGATCCCGTTGCCGGTCCCGGTCCGGTACGGGCGCGACACTGAGGGTTGCGATCCATTGCCGGTCACGAAAAAATACAAAAAGGAAAAAAAAAAAAAAAAAAAGAAATCTCACCCCATCCTGCTCAGGATGTGAACCATCCCTTTGTCTAGCCTGTCCAGCTGTATATACTACCTGCCCCTTAGTAGCTGGCTTGGTATGGGATGAAAAAACATAATCTATTTAGGGCCCAGGCAGTCACTGGAGGCTTTGGAACATAAACCTGGTAGATAACAGGGAATTATACTGCAGTCTCACGAGACCGCATGGCATAAACTATTTACTATCTGGTCCTTGAAACACAGCCTGCCAACACCTGGTCTAAAAGAGACTAACCTAGCCTGATTGCTCCACTCGGGCACTCTCCCACCCGGCAGACGGCCTCCAATTGGGATTCCAGAAAGTACCAGCATTCCCCACCAGCTCCTTCTGTCTGGTTTATCTAACCCAGCACCTCTGGCCTTACCTAAACCCCCAGCCCCGTCTGAAAGTCTAAGTGCCCCCCCACCCCCTCTCTGTTATATTATAAACATGCTTGGGCTTTGGCCTCCCTCCCCAGCCTGAGGCAGGGCGCTGGGTCAAGGTGTTGAGTGGATGTCTGAGGTCCCCACACAAGACACAAGACACACTTGGGAAGTGGGTACTCTGCATCCTTTATGCCCCGTGGGGTCAGCGGCCCTCCAGGGCCCGATCTCGGGCAATGACGGCCTCCTCGAATTTGATCATGAGCGTGGTGCCCTTGTGCCAGTGTGCCGTGACCTTGGCAGGGAAGCCGCTGTGCGTGAGCACAGCCTCCACGATGCCCGCTGTGAAGCTGGCGCAGTTGAGGGTGCTGTTCTCCTTGGGCACAGAGATGTAGGTGTTGATGAGTGGCTCACGCTCAATGATATAGAAGGTGCGCGCGTCGTCGTTGGCCTGCTCCAGCTTGTCGGCCTCCTTACCGAAGAGCGCCTTCCACACCGCGCCCTTGACGAAGAGCAGCGCGCCCAGCACCTTTGTCTCGCGCCGAGCCCCCTTTTCTCGCGCCACCAGCGCATCCAGCACGCGCGCGCCCACCTGGCGGCCCAGCGCGGCCAGGCGCGCCTGCAGCTCGGCCACCGAGAAGACGCGGCTCTGGCAGTGCTGTACCAGCTCGGAGAAGAGCAGGGCAAAGGCGCTCAGGCTCACCTCCGTGCGCGGCCGCACCAGCGCGCGCTCCAGCAGCGCCGACTTCCCGCGCGTGAAGCGCGCCTCCATGCCGCCGCCGCCGCCCTGCGGGGACAAGAGGAGGCAACCGTGCTGGGGGCGATCGCGAGGGGACGTGGCGCGGAGTGCCAGAGGGAAAACCCGGAGGGGCTGTGGGACCCCCACCCCATTGTGTGCTTCCACATGGGAAGAGCTGGAAGGAAGGACGGGGGCGCCCAAGCTGCGCGTAAAAGACGCTTATTGCCTCCATTACGCTTAGCCCGCAAAAGACAAATAGGGGCCGAGTAGTCTTATACCCCAGGCGGGCAGAGGACTTGCGAGGGGGAAGGTGGGAGGAGAGACAAGAGGGGGCCAGAAGGGGGCGCTGGAAATCACCCCAACCCTTTGCGCCCCAGGATATTCCCAACTGGTGAAAAGCGCCTTCATGTCCACTCTAACACCTGTGGCCCAGGTACACTAGAAAAATAGTGCATGGGAGGGTTGGGGCGTCAGGCTTAGGCCAGGGAGGGGACAAAGATGAGGGACTTCGAGGGGACAAGGGCAAGCACCCCTCCTCTGCCATGCGCTCCAGCCCTGATTACCCTCCGGAACTTTCCTGCCCCACCCCCAGCGGAAAGCCAGAGTAAAGGCAAGTAGCAGGGGTGTGTCAAGACCAAAGGCCAGGAGGGCTGGGGGCTTGGGGAACAGGTGAGATCCGTGGGACAAGCCAGGAGGAGGTGCAGGAAGCCCCTCAACCCACGGCGTCGGGCAGCTCCGATTTGTCACGCAGGAAGCCCGGCTCCTGTGCGACGTGGGTGGGCCTGGGCTCCGAAGGCTGGAAGGAGGGGCCCAGAGAAGGCGCTGGGAGCCCCCACCCCCATGCTCTCCAGAAACCACACGGAGGGGGCGGGCAGCACACTCGGCGGTTGGGGGAGCCAGGAGGGGACGCTGTGACCCTCCCATCCCTGTCGGTGGGGAAGAGGGAGATGCGGACGGGGGCTGTGGGTCCCCGAGGGGGCGCCGAGACCCTCTCTCTCTTAGGGTGAAGCCGCCGCCAAGGGTAGGGTCGGGGGGGGCTAAGAACCGGGCCAGAACCGGACCGGGCCAGAGGGGCTGGGGGTGCCGAGACCACCCTCACGAGGTCTGCGGGGTGGGGGGAAGGACCCGACGACCAGCGGGGGAAGGGGGTCCCAGGGGCTCCGAGACGCCCCACCCCAGCGTCAGCCGCCTCGGTGCGGAGGGCCTAGAGCGCGCGAGGTGAGGGGGGCTGCTGAGACCCCTCCACCGGGCTGCGACGGGGGTGGGTGAGCTGAGCCGCCGAAGGGACCGGGGAGGAGCCCCCCGCCCCGGACCTCTGGGGTGGATCGACGTGGGCGGGCCGGGGATCGCGGGCGGGGAGGGTCTCACCGGGAACCGTCTGCTCGGCAGAGCTGCTTTACGGCGCCGTAAAAGGCGCTTCGTGCGCAGGCGCGCGGAGGGCGGGCGTGTGGGTGGGGCGCGCGCGGTGGTGGCCAGAAGCGGCCGCCAGGAGGCGTCCGTGTCCGCGGGGCCGGAGCAGCGGGGCGCGGCCGAGGTCAGGGCTCTCCGAGGGCGGGGCCCTCGCTGGCCTTGGTTGGCCCAGGCTCAGGGGGACAGTAGCACGTGTGTTCACCTGATCACCTGCTCAGGGACACACGTCTCTTGTCTCAGGGGCTCACGTATGCCCTTGGGCACATACTCTCTTGTTTTAGGCACACATTCTCTTAGGGGCACGTACATCCATGAGCCGGCATGTCCACGGATGGACACATAGTCAGGGCACAGATACACTCGCAGGCACAGTTACACCTGTGGGCACCTGCTCAGGGGCTCGTATATATCCGTCGGCCCAGGTACACTTAGGTAGACATTATATACCTCAGGCCACGTCTACTCGGGGACACGTGTGCTCGCGGGCACACACTCAGAGGCATGGGGACACTCAGGCACGAGGACACAGGGTTCCCGGCGTGGCACTTACATGCTCATCGTGTGACTTGACCCATCCTCAAGTTCAGGCACTTACAGACACCCCCCACCAAGACCCTCAGTCACCCCAATAACAGCTCTGAAAGCCATTTTGTTTTCCCTTGACTTTTATCTTCACGAATCACAAAATGTGAATGCAGAAATAAATGGACACACACGTGCACGTGCTCTGAACACACAGGGTGACATAACCAGGCACACTCAGGACTCACGGCTGCTCCCAGGTGGTGACAGGGCACATATACAGTGGTACATTCCCCTGATGTGCACCGCCCCCCTCGGCCATATGTTATACACACGACATACCACAGTACACTGACGCGTGTTTACAGTGACAGACATGCAACACGTGTCACCAACACCCACACTCACAGCGACACTTTTTGGGGCCTCACTGACCAAGTCGCCCACTGTGACATGGCTGTGGTCACATATGTTGCGTGACACAGGCATGCACATCACATTCACTATGACTCCAACACTCATTCACCCATAATACCTTCCTATGGGACACATTGAAACTCACATCCTCTACTAAACACTCACACACGCGCGCGCGCACACACACACACACACACACACACACACACAAGCAACTCCGCAGCAGTCATGCACCATGCACACGATTTTCTAGATGTGAGATGAGGGGTGGGTTCACAGTAGGCTGGTGGCGGGGGGCTCCATCTTCTGTCTTCCCTAGCAAATGCACCGAGTCGCAGCTGTGGCTATGGTGTCCTCTCATTTATTAAGCCGTGGGTTCTGGGAGAGGGAAAGAGACCCAAGGTCAGACACCACCGCCCTGCCGGGGAGAGAGGCTGGGGCCAAATCCAAAGCTGTACCTTTACCCACCTCCCTGGGCCCCAGCTTACATGGATTTGTCTTTTTCTCCAGCACCTCCAGCACCTCCAAGATGTTCTGTATGTGTTTACTGATTTGGGTTATTTCTAGTGGGAGACAGGAGACAGATGAAGCTGGGGGCGGTGCCTCAGACAAAGCCCCACTTTCCTTGGAAACCCCCAAACCCTGCTGGACCTCCAGCCCCACGTGCAGCACAGCCCTGTATTTGGGGTTCCTAGCAGCATTTAAATACCTCCTGAGTTATCTGAGTTGGTTACAGCGTGGTTTTATAATACCGAGGCCAAAAGTTCAAATCCCCAGAACGGCCAGGTGCTAATAAATAAATAAATACTTCCTAAGTGACATCCATCGTCCCTCCAAACCTTGAGCTTTGGGAGAGCAGGACCCCGGCTGTCTCCTCCCCCGAATCCCCAGCACCCAGTCCGATGCTGAGCATCGAGATAAATTCTCTGGCCACAGGGCAGGTCTGCCAGGGCACCTCCTGGCAGCGTCTTCAGTGTGTCGTGCCCAGTTTGGACGTTCTGGCCGACCGCATTGATTTTCTCCTGGATGGAGTTCCAGCCCTTCCTCTGCTCCTCTTGGCACTCGATCACCGAGTTTGAGACTGAGGGCATGGAATAGAAGTGTCTGTGTGGTCACCCCTCTCCCGACCCCTGCCACGACCCTGCGGGTCTCCCCCAGACCCTCACTCACCATTCCAAAACTCCCTTTTCAAGCCCCGCAGCTCCCTGGACATCTGGGAATCTGTTCAGGAGGGGGCAGGAAAACCCTTGAAGCCCCCCAGTTCTGCCCGCCTGGGAGCATGGTTGGGGGAAAGGAAGAGAAACAGGATGGCCGGGGGAACAGGGTGGAAACTCGGGGCTCCCCAGCTCCTCCCCCGAGAACAAACACTCACTCTTCACCAGGACCAAGGCCGAGAGGATGATGCAGAACAGAAAGCACAGGGCGAGGAGGATGTACAGGCTCATGATGGCTCTGTGCAACCAGGGGGGCACCAGGGCAGCGTCCGGGGGTGGCCTGGGCTGGGCTGGGACTGGAGGAGAGAGGCAGGCGGGGTGACCTCCAGGCCCTAACACAACACCATGGACAACTCGCTCTTCCCAATACCATCAGAAGCTGTGACCATAATGACACTGCCACCATCAACAACCCACGAACATTCACCCTCACCAGCACCATCAGTGATTGTCCCTAATACTGTCACCATCACGACTCCCTTGTCAACACTGTCAACAATGCTCACCAACATCGATGCCCACTGTTGCCAACAGTGTCACCATCAAAAGATTTTATCAGCCCCCTCAGCATCTCGGCCACCTCTTCATTCCTGATCAACCACCTTGTCACTTACATTCACTCTCACCAACACCCTCACCCAAACCTTCACCAACACAATCAGCAGCACCATCACCAGCATTTCTGATACCCCATCACTGTCACCACCTACAAAGCTACCCCCACCGTCATCCCCACCACAGTCCTAGAAGCCACCACACTCCACACCATTGACCCCAACCTCCATGTGCTCCTTCCAAGGTGGCACGATAAGTCTGCTCACCTTGACTCGTGGGTGGTGGGTGACCACCCTTTGGCTGGTCCCGGTTTCTGAAGGTCAAGGTGATATTCTCATAGTCAGGGTCACACGCACCTGTGTGTGAGCAGTGGCAGGGGTTGTGGAGACCCACCCAGAGCTCTGGGGATGGGGGGACTCAGAGAGCTTGGCGCACCCAACTCTTGCACACAACAAATTTCTGGGGGTGAGTGATAAGGAGTGAGGAACCGTGACCTGCTTCTTGGTGAAGCGGAGCAGCTCTGTATGAGGCTTGGGTCCCCCCCCACACATGAAATCTTGGAGGGGAGGGAGCCCCCCGGCCCCCACCTCCAGCAGCGTCCTCTCCCATCCCAACCTCTTCTTGGCCCTGCCCTTCCCACCCCACGGTTCCTAACCTTCATTTTTGGTGGGGCTTTGCCATTTCTTGTCCTTGGAGGCCTTCACCTCCATCCTGAGCTGCTGGTTCATGTGGATTTCTTCCAGCTTGCCAGTTTGGTCATACGCATCCCCGCCCACAGGAAGGTGTTGAGGCAGATGAGGAAATCTGGGGGTGGGAGGAGGAACGAGTTGCCAGCCTTCTCTTTTCATGGATCCACGACCCTCCCACACTGGGGCCTCCATACCGTCCAGATCAAGAGGGTCTTGGGAGACCAGAAGTCTCAGGGAGGGTAAAGAAGAGAAGCCTCTAGATACAGACACAGAACAGAACGATCAGGAACTTTACAGGAAGCTGTGTGTGTGTGTGTGTGTGCGCGCGCGTCTACCTGGATGAACCTCATGCTCCTGCCTCCTCTCCGCCTCAGAAGAGAAGCTGTGGCACCTCAGAGTCCCACCTGCATAAGAGCAGCCGCGCTCGGAGGCAGGTCTCCTGGATCCCACCACAGCTTGCTCCCCTGGTCCTAGTCCCACCCCTCAGTGCCACCCCAAGAAGTTTCTACTTCTCCAAGGCCCCTACAGGAAAGGAACAGATGTGGGGCAATGGGGGCTAACCACAATAGACATCTAACGGGAGCCACGTGTTTAATATAAAATTTTCTAGCAGCCATTTTTAAAAGTAAAAAAAGATAAGCTAAATTAATTTTGATGTTTTTTAAACTTAACATAATGTACCTAAACTATTATTGCTTTAGTATGTAGATGATATTTTAAAATTGTTAATGAGAGTTCAAAACATGTGGCTAGGGCAGGCTGGTCAGCTCAGTTGTTTAGAGCACGGTATTGTAACACCAAGGTCAAGGGCTCGGATCCCCATAGGGGCCAGCTGCCAAAAAATGTATATTTGTGATTAAACTCTAGACAATTTTGAAATGGTCCCAAGATCTGATGAGGGTAATGTTCTGTTTCCTAAAGTATTGACAAACCCTGTCTTCCCAAGAAACATCAATTTAATAGTGATTTTGATGCCATCTCCTCTATCTGGTCATTGAGCCAAAGGACCACCTTCTGACAGAATAGCCCACAGGAGATGAACCAATTGGAAGCAGGCTCTGCTCTGATGGACAGGTGCACGGGGTAGGGTCACAGCCTTGCACATTTCCCTTGCTGAAATGAGGCTGGGACAGGGCTCCAGCCCTCTGGACATCCTTTGAGGAAAAAGGCGGCCACTAAACTGGAGGCCCACAAGAAACCATGTCACAAGGGAAACATCCATGGAGTTGCCTGACCAGCACCCACCCCTTTCATGGGGTAACAGTTTTGATTTTTTTTCAAGAAAGAAAATGTGTCTTAAGTTCAGCCAACTATAAACCAGGGATTGGTTTAGGGTAGGCACATGATCCAGATACAGCCAATGAGAGTTGAAGATTTGGCACAAGGGCAGGCATATGAGCCAGACCTGGCCAATAAAACTCTGGTCTGGGACTTGGGTTGGGTTAACCAGGAAAAAGGACATTCTCTCTTTTCTTTTCTCCACCACTGGAGCTGCCAGACTGAGAGAGTGAAGTCTTGGAACTGTGCTGAGGGAGAAGCTGCCTGACAGTGAAGCAGTGCTGAGGAAAGCAGAGCCAAGAGGGAGTCTGGGTTTTTGGAGACATCATTTGAGGACCTGGAGGCAGCCATACCTGCACCTGTTTTGTAACCCTGGGCCTCTCCATTACACAAGCCAGAAACATCCTTTTATTTTTGCTCAGGCTAGCTTGGGGCAGGGTCTGCGGCACTTGCAACCAGAAGAATCTTAGCTACCACAGGGAGCTAACCATCGACTAATGAAGAAATGGAGGCTAGAGAAGGGGGCTTGCTTGTCCAAGGTCATATAGGCAGATATGTTCTCCACATCTGTAGAGAATTCTTAAAGTAAATGTACCTCACAGGGCCTGGTTTTCCAAAGCCTTGCAGTTTCAAATATTGACCTTGCAGAGAACAGGAAATTGTCCTCAGGCTATAGAGTCTCTGGTGTAAGATAAAGATTTGTGGCACAGCAAGGTTGCTGGCTCAAGGACAGACAGGTTACTGATTGATATGTAAAGATACTGAGAAATTGCTGTAAGAAGGAATGTTTGCTAGATCAAGCTTTTGTTGGTAGATCACTTAATTGTCTAATGGAATGTCATCTGACTTGTTTCACTGAAAGTTACCAGCCTATATTGTTAAACTATAATCCCACCTATGTTCTCTTCCTGTAACTTCCTGGCCTGAAAAATAAATGCAGGAAGAGAACCTCAATGTGGGGTTAATTTCCCAAGGAAGGGATGCCTCTCACTTGAGGGTTCTGGGGAAGTTAACCACTTTGGGGCTTCTCACTGCTCAGAAGAGATGGGCTTTGAGTAATCCATTGCAGCTCCATCACCCAGGGGAAGTGGGGTGACAAATCCGTGGGGGCAAAGCAACAAAATGGTGCCCCATGTGAGGACGTTCTCTGCAGATTGGAGACTGACCTGCCAAGCATTGGAGAGGAATAAGACATCCAATTCATCCTGGCAAGGGAGTCCCTAGTAAAGGAGACACATCCCGATAAGGGAATCACAGGTGGCTTTCGATTAGCAATTGCACGCCTGCGGCGGGTCAAAATTAGGTCTTTTCAACCCCGGAGGTATTTTTTCCTTCTCTTTACTTTTAAAATATGGATAATTCGTTAACAAAAGGGGAGGCTAAACATACATTACTACTCCAATGTCTCCTTAAAGCAGCAGACTGGAAGTAACTGAATGGCAGCTTGTAAAACTATTAGTGGATATTAAACAACCATGACCCTGATACCTCAAGGAAAAACCTGGGCCAGCCCGTGGCTCACTCGGGAGAGTGCGGTGCTGATAACACCAAGGCCACGGGTTCGGATCCCTTACAGTGATGGCCGGTTCACTCACTGGCTGAGCGTGGTGCTGACAACACCAAGCCAAGGGTTGAGATCCCCTTACCGGTCATCTTTAAAAAAAAAAAAAGAAAAGAAACCCAGGACCTGAAATGGCTAGTGAAAAGAAATCTATGCTAAATATCTGATAGGCCCTGGTTAGCATTAACTGATAAGGGTATAGATCTAATACACAAAGTTTTTGGCTGGGAAACCATAAATATGTATTTGGTTAATATAGCTAAAACTCAAACTGGGCTTTGTGTAATCTGCTCTGAGAAATAGACACCTATTTACTAACCTGTATGTGTAAAAATGTTCTTATCAGCACACATCACTGACGAGGTTTACTAATCAAACAGGATTGCTAAAGTTCTTTTCACTTAACTGCTCTTAATACTAAATTGTAAAAGGTTTTCTTTGTCCCTTAGATAACTGTTTTAAAAAACTTATTTCATGATAAGTTCTTGTGCTCTCTGCCTTTACAACCCTTTGTCACTTTGGTTTTATTTTTTGTAGTAATTGTGATCTTATTGAACTAAATGTTTTAAGCCTTTTGTTATTTAACAAAGCTTTCCAAAACCAAATTCTAAAAGTTGAACCTTTTGGTGGTTTAGAATAACGTTGAGAAATTCCAAGGGCCTTGGAGTTTCTCAAACGATATATAAAAGATGTATCAAAACTAATTGGTTTATTTAATAAATTAGACTATATAGGAAAGCATTGTCAGTACTGAAGGTGTTATGGATATGTGTTCCAAAATCTTGTAAGGTTCTTAACTATCTGTGTCTTGATATAAATGCTACTGGTCATAACCTTGGGGTTTTTTTTGTTTGTTTGTTTGTTTTAAGATGACTGCCGGTAAGGGGATCGCAACCCTTGGCCTGCTGTCGCCCGGACTGTGCTCAGCCAGTGAGCACACTGGCCATCCCTATATAGGATCCGAACACGTGGCCACTGCGCTCCCAGCACCGCACTCTCCCAAGTGAGCCACAGGGTTGGCCCCATAACCTTGGTTTAATTATAATTTTAAAATGTTATGTCTTCAAATATTTCATGAAAAAACTCTGATTGGTTCAATTTCTTACAAACTTTTAGTTTATAGATTTAAACTAAATTTCCAAAATTCTTTTTTTTTTTTTTTTTCCTTTTTTTGTCTTTTTTCGTGTCCGGCAACGGATCGCAACCCTCAGTGTCGCGCCCGTACCGGACTGGGACCAGCAACGGGATCGCAAACCTCGGTGCTGCTCCCACACCTCGCTCAGCCAGTGAGCGGGATCCGGTCTGTATGTGGGATCCGAACCCTCGGCGGGAGCGCCGCCATGCTCCCAAGCGGCGCACTGTAGCAGTGCACCACCGGGCCAGCCCCTAAATTTCCAAAATTCTAATGAAGAAACTGATGGCTTTGTGAAATTGTTCACTAAGGTCAAACCAACAAAAGTTAATTGGTAAATTAATTAAAAGAATTATGGGTTTTTACCATTTCTTTATTTTAAAACACTGCTGGTTCTCCTAATGTTTTCCAGATGTAAGCTATCTATAACTAACAACAGTTTGGTAATATGTCATTTAAAACAGACATAAAAGCATTCATTTTCTCCCTGTTTAATCCTCCCAAAATTTAATAACTTCAAGTATCCTTATGATTATTATGGCAATGTGGCTATTTTTATAAGTTCAATGAAAACTAACATTCTCTCTCTTTATAACAGGATATAATTTAAAACTTTGGATATAAGATAGCATGTCTCACTTCCAAGTTGCTGATCCCTCTTTTATGTAGCCTGAATTTGGCCTTACTGCTGCTTCATCCTGCTGTTCGTCTTTCCCCCTGACGTGGGACAGATCACTGTAAGAAAGTGAGCTGAGATGCTTCTTTCAAACACCACCTAGGAAAGAGCCTTCCCAACACTGAGAGATTTATACAAAGAAAAGTAAAAGCTTTTCAATCAAGGTATTGATCATCAATGCTTTCATGAGGAATGCCTTAATCATAAAGGGGGAAATAACATCTTCTCTACAAAAGCAGTTCTCTAAATTTCCTGGACTTAAAGAGGGTGTTTGTAACTTGGATGAGACATCCTGTTCTTAAACAAAGGGCTTGTAATTGATCAAAAATTTTACAAAAGACTATACGCTCTGAAAGCAGTAATGTCCTGGACAGATTAACATTAACAAACTC